TGTAGTTTGTTGCTGTTTTTTACAAAGCGTTAATATTTCGAAACAAGCGTGAATATCGTTTAGAGCATAAAGGTATAATTATAATAAATTGAATACAAAATTCAGATATAAATTCGAAAAATAATTCAAGCTTTTTTTTTTGCTGTTGTTTTTCATTTATTTAATAAATCTAAATTGTAAATACTTTTCATCATCTTACTTTCTTTTATATCATAAAATATGATATATTTTAAAAATACCTATTTTGAGATACGTGATTTTTGTCTCTCCGGTTTTGAGGACAATTCCATGTGAAATATTCTGAAATAACTCCTAAACAATGTAAAGTAGTGAAACTTTACACTTCATGTGTCTATGTGCATTACTTGCTACATGTTTTAAATAATGACAGTCAACAACCATGTTTTGTGTATATATATGTTAGTTCAAATTGTTTAGGTCTTTATTTTCTCCAAGGAATTATAAACAAAACGACCGTGCCATAAAAGTTTACCATAGTTGGTAGATTTATGAAGAAACGCTTACCTTGTTCCGGCTTAGAATTTTACCAATGCCACATGATCTAAATGACGCGGGGCTACTAAAATCAGTTAACACATGTTCATCTCGCTCCAAACTATTGATTATTAAATGAAGTGACAGTCTATACGAATTGAAAGAACATTTTGTTGTAAATTTGAGCAATTTCATAGATCGATGATGCTGAACACTATACTGATTATGCATTTAATGTCGTTTATAAGGTATTAAGGTAAGCATGATTAGACAACTTAAGTTATACTTCATGTTTCTCATATGATATTTTCTTAAATAATTCGGAATATCAGAACTGTTCTTAATTTACTAGCATAACGTGTCTTACTGGAAATGAACCACTCTTTGATTTTTTGGTATTTATTTGTATCTTTTTTTCTTTTTTATTCTTTTTTTTTGTGAGGGGGGGGGTGTTTTGTTTTTGTTGTTTTTGTTGTTTTTTGTTTTTTGTTTTTTTAGGACTCCTATTCATTTACACATAACAATAAATAATGAATAAAACATGGTCTATTGCAATATAATTGAAACATAAAGCTTATGTCGTCGCGAACCATAGATTTTCAAGTAGATGTGAGTATATTGGATACAAAAACCCTAATTGTTACATATTTTCTGATTGGTTCATTGATTATTAAGGATTTTTTTTCAACAATCGTACAGAGATTTCTAACTATGTTGTTAATTGATTTATTTATTTGGAACGACCCCTCCAAACAACTCGACACCCCGTCTATGTTCTTTCCTTTCAACAATTTAACACCATTTTGTTTTATGTCATACTTGATGATTTCCAGGCAGAATAACAGTTTAGAGCGAATACAGATAATTTCAATATATTTATTTTATTGATTTAATTTAAATGAAATATATTTTCCGTTTTTTTTGCGAAAGAAATTAACCTGCGAGAGTAGTGTAAACAAATTCTTACTGTTTTTACAAATCTTTTTACGAGTATCAGATCGTCACTTTTGAAGTATTTTTAAGTTAGGAAAGAGACATGACTCTACTGACTTCAAATGCTTCTATATATACCATAAATTACATCCCTTTGTCTTTCTTCTTAATTTGTGTCAACTTTATGTTCATTGTAAACTACTTTTTTCTCTCTCTTACTTTCGTAAATAATTCAATATGATAAAGGTACCAGCAGAATTAAATAATGTGTATTCAGATAACATTTTTGTCTTTGCACACAGTTATACAATGTTTGGAAATTGAGCAATGGCTACATAAAAATTTGGCAGCATTCAATGTCGGATTATTTCCTCCTCCCTTCCAAATGTCTTATAAGTTTTGGACATACATTTGTTTGTTTGTTTCATTTTACACCTTTTCCCAACAGTATTTTAGTTACATAGGCGGGTAGTTTCCTAACCATTGTTCCTGGAGAGTTACACCAGTACTAGACTACCTTCCTTCCTCCGCGCTAAACTACAAAAGCATCTCCCGGGGATCGAACCCACACCAGAGAGGTAACTGGATAAGTCATCGACTCTAACCCCTCGACCACGGAGGCGGTTCTACATTTGTATGAAGTATTAGACAAACAATATCATGTGCTTTAAGCAGTGACAGGTTAAATCAATGTTTGCAGAACTAAACATAATAATAATACTTTTTAAACTTTATTTGCAACAATACTGGAATTCTGAAAATATCTTTCAATACGTTTTCACATTTAATTTCTTAAGTATGTAAAACAACATAAGTGAAGGGTTATAAGGTCATTGTCACACTAAGCGGTCAAATGTCAGCAATTTATTAATATTTCCTAGCACATAAATCTGTCATGCATCAAGGAATCTGAAAATAACTCGGCACAAATGTGAATCATGATAAGATGGTTTGTCGTGCGCAATACCTCGAGAGAGACATAGCTCCAGTTTCAAGGTAACATTTAGAGGTCAAAGGTCAAAAATTGGAAACTATTGCCACGCCCATATTTTGGTAATGCATCAAGGAACTTTAAAATATCGTGACACAAATGTGTAGCATGATAAGGCGGCGAATATTGCGCAAGACTATATTACGTTAAACTCACACTTAGAGGTCAAATATCAGATGTAAGAAAAATTTGCCCCCTAACTCGGTCAAATCATAATTTTTAAGTCACTTGGCAAAAGTGTTAAGCATAATGTGTCCTTGTTATCCTACAAATTGTAAAAATCAATGCCTTACTTCGTCAAGTGAACATAATAAGTCCTTGTTTTATTTTACTTATAACTATATGATCCGGTTCAGACTATACAGAAAAATGTGTTTTGCTAGAATGAAATTAAGACCTTATGAATATAAAAACAGTTTGTTTTTCAACAGTCATCTGTCCTCTTACCAAAGTATTCATAATTGCAAAAAATACACTGTCCTATCTTATAGTATTTACTTTGTGATATTGAGAAAAAAAACTGTCTATAAAACAATATTTTTTAATATAATTCGGTGTCCCCTAACAAATATAGCATTTTAAACACTATTGTAGTTTATGCTTCTGAGCTATAGCAATTTAATTGTTCTTCTTAATGTGTTTGTATATACTAGTGTAAACAGGTTAGAAAAATATAAATTCAACCGATGATGGTACATTTTCAATCATTTGCCTTAAAACGTATTCCCTTTGCAGCTTCAATAAAAACATAGGAATGGAAATATGTTTAATAATGCGTGGTAAGGTATTCATGTCAACTTAAAATAATATATCCGCAATGGACAAAAGATGCTCATATGACAGGGGCGTTTTTCGGGAGCATGTACCGCAAACTTTCATAACATTTTATGTGTCTAAATCATTACAATTTTTCGAGTCCCAAAGAAATCTACTTGGTAATGGTATCCTTTATAACTGATTATGTTATCTAGGTGCCTAAACATGATATTTATTTAAGCAACGCTTGCACTCGTATTTGTAAACTATAAAGAATGACAAATAATGCAAATTTAAATAGAATTTGTACATAGACGGAATGAACATGATAAATGCAAGCTACCAACCACGCCACCAGGACAAGAGTAATTATATGTGCTACTGGCTAAATGATAGGAACATATATGTGAATTATTGAAGGCCCGGAATTATATATTTGTTACAAAAATATTGTTTTGGCCTAGTGTTTGCTCCTTACAACATATTGTCCGTTTTTCCAGTCATACTGGATTAACAACAGAGTATATGATAATACATCAAAATTTCAGAATGTTGACACAAAGGCTGTTTATATTATTAAATCATTCAAGCGTGAAAAAACAAATTCAAAGTCAGGTATAGTTCGGTATTAAATAATTATTTGATGAAATATGTAATAACTGTTATTCACTTAAAACAATTGTAAGTAACTTTCACAAGACTGATGTTCGACTAAACTTTAATAAGCAAATGTTGCATAGGTGTTTTTGCTCCCATTTCGTCCTGGAATTGTTTGTCATGAATTGCACTTTGATCGTCACCTGGCCTCTGGTACGTTTCTACACATTAACACATTAACTATGTCAACATTTACAGTACATGTATTTATTCGAATTAACGCTTTTTTTCGACGTAAAATGTAAACAATGTATCGACGTATAATGTCAACAACGTGTCGATATATAAAATAAACAGTGCGTTGACCTATAATGTAAACAATGTACCGACGTATGACGTAAACAGTAAGTAAGCGGATTCCTATGGGCACTTAAATGTTCGTGTAAGTGAACAAATTTAATTTGAAAGATAACTATTAATATCAAAGTTTTTTATTTAACGAAATAACAGAAAATGTTTATTACTATCATAGATTTGTTATATCATATAACTGTTCAGTAAATGAAACTACATTTATTCTAGGGTACATGCTTATTGTGTACACATAAATACATGTCCTATGACAAATGCAAGTTACAAAATTATTGTAATTAATACCTTGTGAATGAACAGCAATACAATTTAAAATATGCATTTTATTCTAAATATCGATGAAGTCTTTGTTTTGAAATACATTTAACATTTTTTTCACTCAAAATAATAAACATCAGAAACTTCAAATGTGAGAAAGGTGCTTTCTCAGTAAATTACAAATATGGAATTTTGCGGCGTTGTTTCTTTCTCTTTGTTGAAGAGAAAGCATATAGCACTGTAACGCTTCTACTGTGGTTTGTTCTCCTGTTCCATACATTTACCAATAAGGTTTAGGGTTGTCTCCTTGTGACCAAGGTTTCTACCAAACACGGTTGTATTTATAAGTTTATATAGTGCTCGATGTTGATCCTGGTGTCTTTGTAGATGTCCGTATGTCTTATACTGTAAAAAGTAAAGAAAAGCGAGAGAATCAACCACTGCAAAATCCATCCACATTTTGTCTATTTCACTTCTATGTTGCACGTCATCTTGAGTAGATCTCATCATTTCATATTGTAACTCTCGAGGAACACAGTTGACCTTCAATTCCTGGAATTTGACACAAAAAGATGTGATACGATTGATGCAATCGCAACACTTTCTCTTAAATTCTGCCGACCTATCAGGCCATAGATGATCCCAGCAAGAACATACAGGTTCAACAATATCACAGTTGTATCGATATTCAGTTTGTCTCAGAATGAACTCCACTCTATCCAATCCATATCACCTACACAATACAACATTGACGCTAGTTTAAGTCTGCCAGATGTCTCATCCGAGTTTAAACCTAGTGAGAACAACTTAAGAGCTTGATATTGAATTGCAGTATTCTGTCGAATATTTGATGACACCATTATAGATCCAAGGGTTGAATAAAGAAACGGTACCAGACATTGGCTTGCAAGCTGTTCTAGTCTAGATCCATGTACACTATAGTTTGCTAGCTTTAGGATACATTGTTTGAGATTGAGTTGTTTTTCTTGCAAGAAATATAAAATCCTTAATTGACAACTGCTAATAGTTTGTGCTAAGTTCATAAATAACAAACTCGTAATATTTTCATTAATGAGACGAGGAGTAAGCATACCATCAGGTATCACACGATCTGTCTGAAATTTGACCTTTAGTCGATTACCAATATCATCAATTCTTATTCGAAGCAAACATCTACCATCACTCTGTATAATGTCACTTATCTTCCATAAAATGTCAAGCTTCTCTTCTGCAGAAAATTGTCCGGCCATAAGGTTGTTTTCCGGAATTATAAAATGCGGGCAATTTTCATTTTGAATATAGCTTTGTAGTTCAAGCAAGCAATACGTTAAACATGTGAAAATATTGTTCTTTTTCCAAATGAATCGGTCCGTGTTTTGTATACAATGTAATACTATAGTTTTACACATCAAACTAGACAAAGCACTTTCTCTTTCAGGTGTCAGAAAAGATTTCAAAATAATTTTCAGCAAAACATAGCAATGTAATTTTGCTATGTTTAGATTAAACATATAGCATCTTTCTCCTAATGATGTCGATATTCTCCATTCTAGTTCCGGGTAAGTACTAATCTTACTGCTCGCACCAACAACAAAACAACCATTACTAAAAGCATATCTGATCATTTCAGATGTTGGCCATCTCCCTATGCTTTGTCTGTCTAGTGAATGTAAAGCTGATTGTGGCACTGAATAACAAGGTTCCCCAAAAACTATGTCAATGGAACTGTATCCTTCTTTTTCGGGCAAAACATTAGAAGGGCCGTGTCTCTCAGCGTCTTCATGTAAACCATTCAATATTGTATTTTTCAGTAATACCCTCCCTTTACTATCTCCGATAAAATATTCATTAGGAATAATTGTCTCAAAAAGAGACTCATCAGATCGTACTAGTTGTAGGAAACAATATCCAGGTGTTACATTCTCATCCTGTATCATGAGAAGATTTCTTTTATTCTGTTTCCACTCTGACCAGTCCTGTATTACATTACTATTATAGTTCACATGCAGTAAGTCAGTATCTGAATGAAGACCTTCAGTAGTTGTGCCCTCAGATTGACTCCCAAAATAATATGTAGTGCTGTTATCACATAATGATCTCCATGTCACAGTTTGAATATTCTCTTTCAGCATGAAAACTCTTCTCCTTTTCATCACCACTTCTTCATTGACACCAACATCCTCTAATACCTCAGATAACTTCAGCGACAATGTGCTACTATATTCAGGCGATTGAAACATTCTGCAACGATAATAAAAATACACAATTGGAGAAATTAGAGAAATAACACTCCATTAGATATTGTTGTGTGAATAACAGATATAACTAGATTTGTTGCTGTTGTTTTAATCCGTTGAAATATTAAAATGGAAAATACATGCATCTATATTCTTTTATAAAAAAAAAACACTAGGATTGTATTTTGATTATTAAGGATTAACAAGAAAGACTTATGTAACAACATCACAGTGGTTAAGAATAAAATCGCATGTTCAGAATTTTATACAATGTTTTCATAAATTAATAAAAGTAATGATTTTCGTATTGAAATAGAAGACTTCTTCATGGGGTACCTTTATATTTAAAACTGAACTTGATTTATAACTATAAAGCGTGCTTATAAAAGGCATTCTACGGTTAACGCCTTGTTACTATTAAAAAAATGACAAGAGCCAATACCTAGCGAGGACTACGCTCGACACTTTAGAGGAAGAATATAGCAGGAAGAATATTGTAGTAAAGAGCACTCCAACAAAACAGTATTATTTGTTACAAAATCAATTTCAATTTCATATTTGACATTGACGGTGAATGTCATTCAAATGTCAAGGTCACATATGGTTTCATATCATATCTGTTTTGCAATAAGTGCTCTCTTGTCACAGTATGAATCAAATCTTTTAAAAATAACAAAGTAATACAATGTAAGCACAATTAAATGTGTCGGCTTTACCATGCGTTCTTTTGTATAAGTATGGATCAAACAGTCAATAAATGATAATTTAAGCAAATTTCAATAATTTGACCTTGACGGTAACGGTCAAATATAGGACAAGGTCAGAATTTTTAACATGTTGGTTTTGTCATATGTGTTCTTTAGTCCAAGTATGAATAAAATTTGTAAGTTTAGACAATTTAAGCAAATTTCATTAATTTGATCTTAACGGTCAAGGTCAAAAAACGGTCGTGTCTTATCAGAAAATAATGTAACATTTCGGTGTTGTTGTTTTTTTTGTTTTTTTTTATATGTGTTCTTTCCAATTCGACATATTCAATGTTGTAAATCCTTATTAACGAAAACTAACTAATTTAGTTTATTAAACATATTTTTTTAATCGTTCCCAGCTAAAAATCTTTAATGGTGCAATTTACGTCATCAACAAGTAGATTGGGCAGAGTCAAATGCAAATATCAATACCATATTTGAAAATAATCTATCGCTGCATAAAATATAAAATATGACAGAGTTAGGCCTTGGAAAATATTATGTGTTTTCGGTAATCGACTCGACGTATAGAACCCTGCTGTGAAGTCCCCTTCGTACACACGGGATGTACACACGGGAGAAAAATAAAATAAACACCATTTAAAATTGTAGATGTAAAAAGAGATTTACCATTTGATTACGTTTCATCTTAGCATAAAAATTAAAAGATAAAACTAATGCACTAGCGAGTAACATTATGTTATTATTAGTAACATTAAATTTCCTTTTTCAATTCCTCTTTAGATTTAAAAATCAATCACATCTTAAAAAGTAACAAATACGTACATTTTCTCATCTTCAGTCATAAAAACCATTATCATTATTTAAAGCAAAATATGAAACAATAAATGCATATAATAATTAAGTGTCACATGTAAGTATTTATATTCATGAAAATATCTTACTTTTGAACTTTTCTTATAGCATGATTTTTACTAGCGTCGAAGTCAAAACAAAAAGTAAAACTTCCTAATTTTGATTTGTACTTCCTCTTTCGATTTGTATACCTAGGAAACATTACTCTTTAAGTAATAATTGACTAGTTTGCTTACCTTACCCATTATGTCCCTTGAATTTAGCTGATGTTTCACTTTAATCACATTTGTTATTCCTTATTTGTTTATTTATTTATTTTTTTTATAAATATTCATTTATTTTTGATAATTTGAAAAGAGTGTTAAGTAGATACATGTGATTATATGCAGACTATCAGGTATACGAAAAGATGGTTTTTCTGCAATGACTAACTTATGCGTGTCATGCGTGCCAGATGACAAAGTTATCAGCAACAGCATAAAATTGGAAACATCAGAGTCGTTACTAAGTTTATCAATAATACAGGTGAAATAAAAAATACCTGAATCAGTTATTGTTCTGTAAATAATCATCGCAAGGTATAAAGTGATAAATAACACTAGCAACTATGATATCATAAAAATATGAATTTTTAAGCTTTCTCTTTCCATTATGCTATGTAATTAATCTGTTATCAATGTAGCTACCTTGTCCTATCTACATGTCTTTCATAAAATGTATTTGCACCCATGTTTATTGCATTGGTATATGGTTGGTTCACGCAAAAATGTAACAAAGAATGTCTCTGTTATTTAGTACACATGGACAATGTACGTAAAAACAATAAAATGTTCAGGAACAAAATATTATTTTGCTCTTTTAAATAAGGTTTTATCCCTTTAGCAATTATTGGTGTATGCGCCATTCGTTTTATAAGGCAGTAAACTACCATATTTATTTCATACAAACATTTCGGAATACTTCTTTTTTAAAATTCAAAAAAATGTTTTTTGCAGCAGATAATTATATAGCTTTATACACTTTAAGTTATTTTGAATACCCTTGTATGCGGAGCATATTTGAGCCGTGTCATGACAAAACCAACATAATGAGTTTGCGACCAGCATGGATCCAGACCAGCCTGCGCATCCGCGCAGTCTGATCAGGATCCATGCTGTTCGCTATCAGTTTCTCTACTTAAAATAGGGTTCGCAAGCGAACAGTATGGATCCTGATCAGACTGCGCGGATGCGCAGGCTGGTCTGGATCCATGCTGGTCGCAAACCCATTATGTTGGTTTTGTCATGACACGGCTCATTTTAATTAGTGGCAACAACTCAATGTTACCATGATTTGCACGTGAAAGTACATGTATAATCTACCGTTGGATATATTATTGATTTTTCCAAACAACAGTATATTTTCACACGATTAAATTTTAAAGTCGTTTAAATACAATGTAATGTGGTTTTGTATATTTGTTGTAAACATGGCTGAGTTGCATTGTGATTTAAGAGAGGAGTAAATAGCTTATTGCAAAACTCAAATGTTTTTTTTGGTAATTGCGCGTCAAATATAAAAACGGATCTAGATTTAGTTTATGGAGAAAATGCCCTTCCATGTCGTTTAATTTCCAGGTGGGTGTCAATGATTGATAATCCCCACCCCTGGCGGCCAATTTCTACTACCTCACAACGAAGTATCAGCACGGCCATAATTGATTAAGATGCAAAACATACCATGGAGGAGATAAGTGACATATCGGGCCTTAGTGCGTTATATGTGTTTTCCATCTTGAAAAAAGGAAAGTGTTCGCCCGTTGAATCTCGCATTTGCTCTCTTCAGACTAGAAAAGGGATCGGGTTAGAAAAGCCTCGGCCTTATTCACTTGGTTCAAAGATCGAGACCCTTGACGCCTTAGAGAATGGTCACAGAGGATGAAACGTCGCTTTATTTTTTGACACCGACAATAAAATCAGTAAAAAAATGTGGGTAAGTGAAAACAGCGATCGCCATTTGTTGCTCGATGTACCAGGAGCTTTTATTAAGAGTTTTGTACGTTCAGTATCTAAACAGTGATGGAATAGTGGCCCGTGTCGCTGTGGCTGAGAGAGGTAGTGTTACTAGAACAATTTATCGTAACAATGTATTTACTGCGGTTGTTAATCTCTACATTACAAAAGAAACCAAAGGTTCGGGGTGCACAGTATCAAATTATCCCATGATAATACACCTGCGTACCGGTCAGCCTTTGTTAAAGATTATTTAGTGGAGCAAATAATTCAGGGTTTTGCTACATTCCGCTTATGGTCCTGACCTCTCTTTACTTGTGTTTTTTGGTTAAATCCATACATCTAATCTTCCCTTTGCGGCCACCTGTTCGAAACCCGTAGTGACTTCGCAACCCAAATTACAGTTCAAATTTTTTTTAAAGGAATTCTGAGGCTGGAACAGTGTTAAGAGGTCCGTGGTGAATATTTTGAAGGATCTGCTTCTCATGTGTCCACAAGTATGACTTATTTGTTTATGAAAACGCGCTAACTTATTATGCTCCCCGAAAAATTTCGGGGGGGGGGGCATATAGTCGGCGCCTTGTCCGTCTGTCCATCTGTCCGTCTGTCCGCACTCACAGGACAGTAATTATGTGGCTAGAGGGACAATAGGTAACTGTTCTTTCTCTTTGATGTCATTCATTCCGTAATGCTTTTATGTGGCTATTTTCTTTTATGTGGCTAAAAAGAACAATAGAGAGAACAATGGAGTAGCCACATAATTACTCTCCTGTTAGAACTTCCGTCTGTCCGTCCGTCCGTCGGTCTGTCGGTTGTCTTGTCCAGAGCATAACATGAAAACCCTTGGAGATAATTTGTTGAAACTTCATACAGTGGTAGAGGGCATTGAGGGAAAGTGCAGTGTCAAAGAACCATAACTCTATTTTGCCCCGGTTTTGAATTATCTCCCCTTATTAGAAAAATCTTGTCCGGGGCATAACTTCTAAAACTATAAGAGATATCAACATGAAACTTTGTAGGTGAATAGATCTCAATGGGTAGATGTGCAGTGCATAAGAAGAATAACTCTTTTTGTCCTAATTTTGGAGTTATTGTCCTTTGTTAATTTTAACACTTTGAACTTTGTCCGGAATATAACTCTAAAACTATAAGAGATATCAAGATGAAACATTGTAGGTAGATAGATCTCATTGAGTAGAGGTGCAGTGCAAAAGAACCATAACTCTGTTAAGCCTCATTTTTGAATTATCTCCCCTTTTAGAAAAATCTTGTCCAGGACATAGCTGTAAAACTATAAGAGATATCAACATGAAACTTTGTAGGTAGATATATCTCAATGGGTAGATGTGCAGTGCAAAAGGATCATAACTATGCCTTGCCTAATTCTGGAGTTATTGCCCTTTGTTTATTTTTCAACTTTTTGAAGTTGTCCGGGACATAACTCTGAA